ATCTAATTCTCAAAAACAATCCACAATTTAGGCAGTGTTATTGACTTCATTTTACTGACAATCATACTGAGTGCCAGGGAGGTTAAATGACTCGCCCAGTGCCAAAAGCTAGCAAGAGAACCCAGGCTTCAAACCTAGATTAATGATTTTACAAAGGGAAACTCAAGCAGCCCTGTTATTCATATTACCGGCACATGGTTAAGACTGAGAATAATAGTAATAGTCATAATCCCTCTTTCACCAGTCTGGATCGTTTAGGATACTCTGAGTATGCAGCAAAGACTTTAGGAAAAAAGCATACGTTGTGATTACTATAAGCAGAAACTTCAAATTTAATACTTCTAGTCACATTCTAGAAAAATACATGTGCTTAATTAAGAGCAACAAACACGTCAGCAAAGAGTGGACAGTTAATCATTTCAAATACTGCTGGATTCAGCTGGTATCATTCCCTGACAGACCAGGCTTCTGGTCCACATGGTTCTGCTGATGCTTTAGAAGGGTTTGGTGATTTATAGTTTGAAGTTAAAATTAACAAAGAGCTTTCAAAGCAGTACAAAACTTGTATATCAACTTGGGGAGAACTGACATATTTACTATTTTGTGTCTTCCAATGCATCAAAAAGGCATGTCTCTATTTATTTAAATATTTTATTTATTCCATCAGTGTTGACTAGTTTTCAGCATACAAGACCTATAGATGATTGTTACATTTACACATATTTCTTTTATTCAGGGATCGTAAATGGTATTGTATTTTTAATTTTGGTGTCTGTGTGTTCGTTCCTAGTATATGGAAGTGCTTTAACAAAATTCTTATCAAAATCCTAGCAATTTTTTGGAGATATAGACAAAATTATTCCAGAATTTATATGGAAAGGCAAAGGAACTAGGATAGCTAAAGTAAAAAGAATAGAGTAGGAGGAAGTATTCTACCCAATTTCAGTACTTATTCTATAGCTAACAGTAAGCTAGACAAGGTGGTATTTGTGGAGGGATGGACCCATTGAACAGTGGATTAGAATAGAGAACCTAGAAGTAAATACATATAAATATGCCCAACTGAATTTTAAAAGAATTAAATGCAATTCAACAGAGGAAGGGCAATCTTTTCAACAAATAGTGCTGGAACCAAAAATAAATAAATAAATAAATAAATAAATAAATAAATAAATAAATAAATAAATAAAT